AACAACTTACAAAGCGTGAGGAGTTGTCATTCCTCACGGTCTTGGCATTTCCAAAGGCCTCCAGCAAGGGGTTGGCGCTGATGATTTGATCCTCAAGCGTGCCCTAGAGCATGATAAACAGTGGTTGTTATCATTTCAAAAATCATATAAAGAACAAAAAATAGAAATCATTCAAGGCAGTATTTATTAATTTACCTGCATTTTGCCAGACTGCTCCTCTTTCTTCTTCTCCCCACTAGCTGCAATTGTTGCAAAGTACTGGATGACACGCTTGGTGTTCACAGTCTTCCCTGCCCCGGATTCTCCGCTAGGAAGCAAAAGAGAGAGAAGCAGAGAACATCTGGTCAGGCAGCAGGTCCCCAGACACAGAGCCACCCCTTGGGAATCGGAGCAGGGAATGTACGTACGTGATCAGGATTGACTGATTCTCGCGATCTGTGAAAGAGACAGAAAGGGACGATATGTAGTGCTAATGAATACAACATTCAAGCAACAGAGGCACCAGAGTAGAATTTTCCACGTATTCCTTTTTTTCATTCCTTTTTTTCATCTTATTAAATAAATGCATGAAAAAGTAATTGAGATTGTGTGTAAAACTGCAGGTTGAAAGAATTCTGATTTTCTCTCCACACCAACTGTTCTTATAAACATTATCTTCTGGATAACCTGTGGTTCCTGCAAATTTGGATATTTCACCAGTGCTAAAAACATTTTTACAAGCTTCTTATTCTTTTTTTCCATCTCACCAAGAATGCAAAAGAATGAATTATTTCCAGAGTAAGTATATTAATTATTTCAGGATTTTCTGTCCTGTTTATTTTCTTGATTCAGTTTATTTCATTTTTGGTGTATTTCCATCTTTGCAAGTGTTTTTAAAGTTTAAAGTTTCTGCCTTAGGGCGGATACTGAAAATAATGAAGAAATCTGAAAATGAGAGGCTAAATTCCTACTTGTAATTCATAATCCTCCTTCAGAGACAGAGAGAAAACATGGAGAAGGAGAAAAAAAGATGATCATTCTATTTCCCTAAATTTTAAGGCCTTTTTTAAACACAGCATTATCACTGTAATGTTCTGTTAGATTGACATGTATTCATGAAACTACAAATGTGTGGACATCAGATCACTGATTCCCTTCTCCATATTGCAGTTTCTATGTACAGAATCCTAATCTGTTCTAGTTTTCATACCATATTTCAGAAGAAATAAATCCATAATACAAGAGTATTAACTACTAGCTAATTAGAAATGAAAATATTTATTGTGATTTCTTGGTGGTGCAATAATTCTGCTGTTGTTCTTTACAAATACATTGAAAATATCAGAACAATTGAAATCAGAGCTTTTTTTTTGCAATCTAAGTCTTCATGAAATCAAGGCACCAAGAATTTAAGTAAAAGTGTATTTTTTAAATAATTGAATTACATTTTTCAATGATAAAACAATATTTTGTGTGACAATTTGACCAGTGTTCAGACCTAAAAAATTTGTAGTGGAGAACCTTTGTTTCATCTGACACAATTTAATCCATTAATTATCCTAAACCATAACTTTTTCAGTGCCCTTAACTTTACACATCAGCTAATTTTTATAAACATTTAGAAAAGAGCATGTCTCTTTCAGAGTAGCTGTAGTGATAACTGCTAAAAAAAGTAAGGTTCATGATGAGTTTTACCTCTCTGAATGTGTTCAGTTT